TGGGTAGACGCTTGTTTGTAAACAATGACACGCTATGACCATCTGACGCATGCGCAGATGACGACTCCCCCATGCTTTAACTCCATTCCTTGTCATCAGTGTGGGATAATTATTGCAGCCACATATTATTGTAGGTGATTTGTGGAGTTTAAACTGTCTCCAATGTCTATAGAACTTGAATATTTTAATTTACCTGCTCAGAATTTGTCGTTTGTGAGTCAATGCAAAGCTTACACGATTGTTCCTGATTGGCTACCTGACCTTAACATCTAAAAGTCAGTCCAATCACACATCAATTTGTAGGTCAACGGGTTATTTTCTACATATCAAATTCTGTCTTGTATATATGCTTGTACTCTTATTTGTTAAAGTGAGTTGAATGGAGCACAAGAGACACCTGTAATATTTATTAAACAACAAATAATAATCTTTTTGAAAACATATTTATGTGATTACTTGCTTTTCATTTTGACAGGGCATACCATCTAAAAGTGAGTTTATTGTCAGAGTGGATCTGAGTCCAATGCAGAAGTAAGTACAGGTTGATAATCAGTGTAATACACACAACTTGATTTTTTTTTTGGTGGCTCTGAATTTATTAAAATATGAGAAACTTTCATCAAAATCAACAAATGGTGCAGCATTTTCAGCAGGGGATATAGTGATCGCCAACATCCATACAAAGTTGTATCATTTGCGGCTATTGCAGTGCTTTATTGAAGACATTGCCCACTAGATCAACATATTTAATGTCCATATATGGTCACAAGACCTCATTAAAAATGCATAAATATCATATCTGGAGCACTGTGCAGATAGACATTCAACTAGTGCTTGTAATAAAGATGTTGGGGGATATGCCATTTCTGATAGCTTTCTTTTTAACTTCACTGTTGTCTCAGGTTACTTATGACATATTATCTTGTAGGAAATACTACAAGTTTATTCTGACTCGTAATTTTGAAGCCCTGAATGCAAAGGGAGGTAATCAAGTATCACTGTTGAACATTATGATGGATCTAAAGAAATGCTGTAATCATCCGTATCTGTTTCCAACTGCTGCCATGGTAAGTAAACTCTGTGTTTTAACCAGTGATGGTAAAATAGGGAGTCAAAGTCCTTCTAGAATTACCCCTTCCTAATTTATAATTATCGATACTCAAATATGTTTGCTTAGATTTGGATATTCATAATTTTCATGTAAATTTTGTTTATTTTGCACATTGTGCTCATTAAATCATGTATACATTCGCATTCGCAGGAGGCACCTCGCTTACCAAATGGAGCTTATGAAGGCCACTCATTGGTCAAGTCCTGTGGTAAACTCGAGTTGTTGAGCAAGATGCTGAAAAATCTTAAAGCCGAAGGTCACAGAGTGTTGATCTTCTCGCAGGTTAGTGACTTTACTACTTGTGTTTTTCAGTCCCAGTCTTGTGAAGTCTCCAATATTCCTTGGACAGGACATAGCATGTCGATTAAGTTTTTGTTTTTATATTTTTTGACCAACTGATGACTACTGTTAAATACTTAATTTTCGCTTGTAATTTATTTTCACTGAGGGATAATTCAGTGAAAATAAAATCTAGCGAATATACCTTTATTCCTATGTTTTACATTCAACTCATCCGAAATCAAAATTAAACTCCATACAAAACGCCCAAGAAATCTTTTCAGCAAAAATTAATTCCAGCTAAAATATCAGAATTTTGTTCCTTGACTTTGATTAGTATTTTTTCATGTTTTAAAATGAGATGTGAATAGCAGCCTTTTTGTGTCTTTCAGATGACAAGAATGTTGGACTTATTGGAAGATTTCTTAGAATATTCAGGATATCGATATGAACGTATTGATGGTAGCGTCACTGGCAATCTTCGACAAGATGCAATAGACAGATTCAATGGTATGTTGAAGACAGATAATAAAAAAAGTGTTAGCTTTAAAGTTGCATTCTGAGAACTTATTTGGGGGGGGGTCATAAGACTTATCTGAATTATAAGAATATGATTGCTAGCATTCGGACACAATGAAAAAGGATTGCAGTATATAAATAGTTGTTAGATAAAAAAAATAGATCTGTTGATGGTCAGTGCTCACCATGTTTATAATTTTTTTTATGGAAAAGGAGTGTGCCTGTCATTGGTTTGCATATGCAGATTAACTTTATTGGTGTTTCATAAAAAAAAAATCGCATCACTATATCATTTTTTAAAGAAATTTTGGACCAAGGATCTGTTTTTGGGTCTTCTATATTTCAAATTCGGACTCAAATATATTATGGTATATATTATAGTCTCAGAGTCCTAATAAATGAACGCTCTTAGAGTTCCGCCATTGATGTTCATTGTTTGTTTTACTGTATGGAATATCATTATACCTTTACTTGCTTGTATATCAGTGACAGCAAGCCCTGTCTTTCCTCTCTGTCTATTCACTCTGTATTCGTTTTGATTTGCAGCACCTGGTGCTCCTCAGTTTGTGTTTTTACTGTCTACAAGGGCAGGTGGATTAGGTATTAACTTAGCTACTGCAGACACTGTAGTGATCTACGATTCAGATTGGAATCCTCATAACGACATCCAGGCCTTCAGTCGAGCTCATCGTATTGGGCAGTCAAATAAAGTAATGATCTATAGGTTTGTTACCAGGTCATCTGTAGAGGAAAGAATTACACAGGTGAGTTGCATTCAAGTTTTGCATCTACTGAGCGTGTTACTGAGCATATGCGCAATGAATTGTGGGAGAGAGATTAAAATTTTACATTTATTGAGCAAATGTGCAATGCATTATGGGAAAGATGTATGCCATAAAGTTAGTCGTGTTAGGTGTGTGCATATATTTTCATTTGAAAAAATTGTTGCACTTTAGAATTTAAAGATCCTGTGCAAATTATGTGGCTAAGGTGAAAGTGGGAACAGGATCAGGATCGAGTGGATTTGTAAGTAAGCCCCATCAATGTTTGCATTATGTGTTAAATGGTAACATGTGCTCAAGGGTGTCACAAACAACTTGTGAATTTACAACAGCTGACACATGAGGGCGCCATTACTGAAGGATGAGTTGTCATTAACACCTGAGGGCGCTATAACTTAAGAATGAGTTACTGTAAAAAGGTAAACTATTCACTGGGTTTTAATTTTGCTTTTTTCGCTGACTGGAAAATGCGCTAAATTAAAACCAAGTGAATATGTAAGATTTTAGCATAGAACACATTATCTTAATGATAAAACCATGAATTTAAAGACCACTGAATATGCCTGAAATGGTAATTCAGCGAACTTTAAACCCAGTGAAAATTAGTCATTTTACAGTACTACCAACACATGAAGAGACCATAATCGAACTACAAGCGAGACATAATGATACTGTGACTTACCGGTGGAGTATTTTTGTGTTCCTTTTGAGATTAATTTTCTATAATTTCTTCCTCAGGTTGCTAAGCGAAAGATGATGTTGACTCATTTAGTTGTCAGGCCTGGATTGGGATCTGCTGCTAAAGGCGCACTCAGTAAAAAAGAACTGGATAACATTTTAAAGTTTGGCACAGAAGAATTATTTAAAATGGAAGATGACAAAGGTGGGTGTGCTGATGATTTTATTTACAATACAGTGAGTTTGAACCTAAAAGAAATCAGGAGGCACAACATTTTAGTATGTGACTTCAGAAGTCTCCCACAGCCACATAGAATTTTGATTGTTTTTCTTAGAGATCTTTCTCAAGCTTTGATTTGTTTTTCTTTGAGATCTCTCTCAAGCTGACCCCAACTTAGTTCCTTTTGGCTCTATTGAAGCTCTAGTAATAATCTGAGGAGTTCAACTTTAAGCTTATCATTATCAGATCAGATGCACCTTTTGTTTTACTATGTTTTTTTAAAAATATTTATTAAATAGAGCAAGATGGAGAAAGTGGTGAAGGTGTCATACACTGGGATAGTAAATCTGTTGCTGAATTGTTAGACCGAAGTAAAGAAGGTATTGAAGAGAAAACATTATTTGTTGCAAACGAGTACTTGGACTCTTTCAAAGTTGCCAGCTATGTCATCAAAGAGCAAGAAGAAGAGTCGGTATGTAGTAACATTATAACCAATGTTGTGTTTTTTTGCTCCTGTCACTTTCCATCTAGTTTCTTAGCTTTGAACAAGTTTTTAGCATATAACGTGTTTTTGATGGTACTCGACATGCATGGATTTAAAAAAAAAAATTCTTGTCATTGAATTAAAGAAAAAAGACAGTCTGTAACCACACTTACCGACTGCTGTCTTTCAAACGTACTCTAAATCATTTTAATTTTCATAAATTTGAATATCTCTGCGACTCTTGCATAATTTTGTCTTCATGAATGTTTAGCAGCATAACATTTTTTTTACAGTATTAGTGTCTACATATTATTCATTTGTTCTCAAGTTTTTGAACAAACTTGTAGTCAGTCTCTTGAAAATTTCATTAAGTTAAAATTGCATTAAAATTAAAATTGCCTGTTGAACCATTCTTGTTTTTTCACATGAACTTGTATACTTAAATAAATGAAGTTTTTTTTGTTTTTTCACAACCCCAAATAAAATTGTTGTCACCTGTCAAAAAATAAACCTAAATTATTTATTTTTGGCGACAATGTCAGTTATTGTTTTGAACAACTGCTCAAAAAAATTTCAAAAGTTGTAGTTTTGTGCAAAATAGTACTATAATAACACTACATGCAAAAATTGCATGTATTTTTTTTTCAATGGGTAACCAGTTTTTAGTTTAGTTTTCTCGCATCAAAAGGGGTTGTATGAAACTGCTTCTTTTAATCCCTGAATATGTAGAATCTAAAATGACTGGATGCATCAAATAAAGTTCACTTTTTAAGCTATGGAATTTAAAATGTGTATTTTAGTAGCCAGGTTTTCTTGCTCGAAAAAAATAACTGAATGTCCTCTTAAAAAAATTCCTGTGTTGACTACATGTTGTCCTCGACTAACTATGTATTTTTATTGCTATGTACGTAGCTCAGTTATCAGGACATAGATTAACATGTCACATTTAGGATGGTGTAGCAAAAAAATTGCTCACACCATTAAAGGCGTGATATTACAGTTTATTGTATATGGCTTATTAGTCAGTGAGTGTGTCCCCTAGCATCAACTGTTGACTGGGCAATTAATAAAACTAAAAAGGAGTACATTTTACCAACTTGCCATGTTAAGCTATTCATAGTTTGGGATATGGAGTCCAGCCAAGGGGACATAAAGCGGGGTCCATAGCGTTGGGAAAATCCTTTGAAAATCTTTGAGTTTTGGAGTTGTCTTTAAATTGCAGGAAAAATAAAAAAAAATCTTTGAAAAGTCTTTAAATTTCTTCATAGTTATTAATTCATTTTAGAAAGGCCCGTTTTCTCCAGAGCTTTGGTGATGATGTTGGCCTAAATTAAAGGTCAAAATGTCTTGGGGTTGGGGGTGCAAGAAAGTTTGGGAAAAGGTCTGGGAAAGTCTTGGGAATCATTTGGCTCTTGGTACTATGGACCCTGTAAAGCTGTCTATCCTGTGTACTGTCTTTAGTGTGCTTAAAAAATCACATTGTGGTTTACTGTAGGTTTATTTAGCACATCACCTGTCACAAGCCTCATTGATAGATGTAATGACTTGCATATAACAATGTCAGCAGGTTATGTAATGAATTGGATTTCACAATGTCAGCAGGTTATGTAATGAATTGGATTTCACAATGTCAGCAGGTTATGTAATGAATTGGATTTCACAATGTCAGCAGGTTATGTAATGAATTGGATTTCACAATGTCAGCAGGTTATGTAATGAATTGGATTTCACAATGTCAGCAGGTTATGTAATGAATTGGATTTCACAATGTCAGCAGGTTATGTAATGAATTGGATTTCACAATGTCAGCAGGTTATGTAATGAATTGGATTTCACAATGTCAGCAGGTTATGTAATGAATTGGATTTCACAATGTCAGCAGGTTATGTAATGAATTGGATTTCACAATGTCAGCAGGTTATGTAATGAATTGGATTTCACAATGTCAGCAGGTTATGTAATGAATTGGATTTCACAATGTCAGCAGGTTATGTAATGAATTGGATTTCACAATGTCAGCAGGTTATGTAATGAATTGGATTTCACAATGTCAGCAGGTTATGTAATGAATTGGATTTCACAATGTCAGCAGGTTATGTAATGAATTGGATTTCACAATGTCAGCAGGTTATGTAATGAAT